AATCATCAGAATAATAGCATTGCTCTGAGGTCATGCATGTGAGCACAGAGATATTAGAAACCAAAAAATAGTGTGGAATATCAGGCTGGAGAGGAAGTTTACATTAATTTGTCTTTTCATTCTTGTAGTTGCCAATATACATTTATTTTTATACTTAAATATTAAGGAAACCACGAATAACTCTGACTTACTTGTTTGCTATCTGTTTACAATTACACAAATTAAAAGAAAAAAATTCCAAATTACTTAAAACCACTTAGCTCTAGTTAGGAGAAATATTTCTCGATTGTTCTGATTCTAGCTGGATAAATAATATTATAGAGTTAAGACTATGACTCTCATAATTAGGAATCCTTGCAACAAATCTTAATTAACTGACTTCTATAATCCTTAAGAGCTATATTGCGACCTTCTATTTTCGTAGTTAATCTAAATGGTCTTAAAAAGTGTTTCATTTAGAGAGTAAAATAAGCAAACAACACCTAGAAAACATTTTATTTTAATCTTCCGTGCATGATAGGAAAACTAAGGTGTGTAGTTTAGTAAAATGTAATCATTCGGGTTGTACACAGTACAAGAAAATGTTAATCATGATAGTCAACCTGAAACAAATTGTGTTTGTAGATAACCTGACATGTGCAAAACCCTTTAGGGACCATGTTCAAAGTGAAAGACATGCTAAATTACAAACCAGTTCTACTGATATTTACTGAAAGGGTCTATAATGCAATCATTGTCCGAAATGAGTTGTCCTATTCATTGGCTTCTTAAAATATATATTCTGAACCCTTTCTCTGCTGTGAATGATGATTCTATTGTGTATAGGTCTGCCTTAGATTTACATTTTGATTTTATATTTTATATATTTGCCCTGGAAGCCATAATTTATGAACTGACATTGAAGAAAGATTAAAATCAACAGTCTCCATGTATTTATAAACTTGAGATGTCTATTTTATTTACAATTCACTGCATTTTGGAAAAATTGTTTATTTGAAATTTCAACCTTTTACACATTGCTAAAGTAGGGAATTAGGGATATTGTAAACATTTATTCATCTTTATATCTGTATTTTAATGTATTCTCTCTGGATATCTCTGAGTCCTCATTGGGTTTTTAAAAATGTTGACAAATTTTTTTTTTTCTAAAACCTGTGCTACTCAAAGTAAAAAGTAAAATTAATATAAAAGTTTTCAATGGTGATAAAAAGTACACTGAATACAATTGGTGGCATAAATATTTTACTTTTTT